ACAGAGAAAAGGGCAATAAGCTATCTTCATGCAGCTTCCTCAGCTCACCATTTCTCTTAGTAAGTTTCAAAATCATTTCCCTTGTTTAAAAATTCTTTTACATACCTGCTACAGTCCGCATTACACACAATATTTGCCTATCCTCTTCCTCACTTTCTTACTCTGCTAAACACTGACCTTCCTTCTAGCCCTTCTCATAACCTACACATCAGCAGACAAGTTTTTCTTTTAACACTTCTGTCAGACTCTGTCCTCCCACACCCAGTAAATCTCTTTACCCTTCTCAACTGGAAACATACTGACTGTTCAGGTTTGTTAAATACTACTTTAAACATCTTACAATTTTGTTCTCTATCTCTAAAAATTAGACTGGTTTATAATTTCTGTGCCATGCTGCCAGTAAAAGAAATATTTTATTGAAGTATTAAAAATGTTGAAATAAGGATCAATGTAAGACCTCTCAATGCTGTACCAAAACTCCATGCTGATATATAAAATTTGATCAAGTATACTACAAAATTATTAAAGAACACCACATTCCCAAACATTTTAGATTCTTCGAGACATGGTTCAGTGGGTTTAGTGAGCATGGTGGCATTGGGTAGATGGTTGGACTTGATGACCTTTGAGGTCTCTTCCAACCATAACGATTCTATGAAACATCACAGTAACAAGCATACACTATATTGAAAAGAAAAAACAAAGAAAAAAGGCAAACTCAAAATGCATTCAATATTATTCATGGCTTCTGACAACTTACCTGTGCCAAAATATTGAATACTAGAAGTATAAAAATCACGAAGTAGTTTGCTCCTGCAGTGAAATATTTTCTGTAAACCTTAAAGTTTATTTTTCCCTCAGAGCGACTCTCCTCTGGCACCGCAGCCAGTGCATTTTCAGCCTGAAAAAAAGGAAAAAAAAAAAAAAAAAAAGAAGAATATAAAACATCAACCTTGCAGTTACAGATTCAGATTAAGCCACTTGAAATTCATGGTTCAGATTTAGCAAACAATTAAATAAGGAGATAAAGTGATTGTGCATATAAAAACTTTAAATATCGGAACTATGGCTTTGACAAAAAAAATTAGTCTCAGTGCAGTAATACTGAAAAATCTACTTTGCAAAATGACACTGTGAGGATTTTATTTTGCGTTGCATCAGAGAATGTAACATGACTTCATTTACAGCCAGAAATATTTACTCTAACTGACCACTAAACCAGGTTTTTGTTTTGTTTCATACTATCTTTATGGATTTAATAGTGGAGTCAAGACTTGGACATTAATAATATTAGATAAGTTTACTGCATTGGGGCATAAAACCGTTCCTCCAAAGAGGTATGAAAAAGTCTGTAGCTTTTTTTTTATAGCATAAAGGTGACGATCACCAGGGACACAGAGGGATTACTTGTTCCATGTGTTACATGGATGCAGTGCTATCACAAGCCTAGCAGGGTGCAGGTTTACAGGGCTTCTGCGCTGTTTTACGTGAATGCAAACACACCAGCAGAAGGACACCTCTGGGACAGAAACCTTAGAAGCCTAGCAGGGTGCAGGTTTACAGGGCTTCTGCGCTGTTTTACGTGAATGCAAACACACCAGCAGAAGGACACCTCTGGGACAGAAACCTTAGGGCTGCTTTTGCACTGAGCAGACCAAGAGATAACAAGGCACCTGGAAGTCAGGCTGGCACCATACAGTGTTCTGTTTTCACCAACAGAAGGGCTGGGGTGAGCAATGTAGTGGTGTCCCAAGGTCACCCCCCTCAGGGCCAGCTCAAGATCATGTGGGTGCGTTAATGCCAGCCATGCAAATGTAGACTTTAACAGAAGGGCTGGGGTGAGCAATGCAGTGGTGTCCCAAGGTCACCCCTTCAGGGCCAGCTCAAGATCATGTGGGTACGTTAATGCCAGCCATGCAAATGTAGACTTTGTATAAAGCCACTGCTTCCACATGCACTTCCCAGAGCTCAGGACTTCAGGCAAAGTGTTAATTTGAGTTCAGCACTGCACAAACACACAGAACCTGCCCAATACAGTGGTACTGGCCCTTAAAAGCACCACTGTTAGAGGACAGGATGAAGGAAGCCCAGTGCGGTGTCTTTAGAAACCTATGGAAATACTTCCTGCATCCCACAGAGCTGATGCTGAACCTGAACAAACTCACTCTGCTGGGTTTGAAGAGAGCAGCGCAGAGCTGTAGGATGCCTGCCTTCTGCAGCCCAGTGCTGGGCAGATCCCAAGCACAGCACCAGGGAGATCCACCATGGGCGAGTTCTCACCTGGTAATGCCATCCAACAATTCCGAAATTCAAATGCAGCAGGGAAAGCCCTTATCGAAGTTTAAGTTAAAAACCAGCCAGACAAGAACTGAGACACGTCTATCCTTTGAGAACTCACAGGTGGTTGCTCCACTGCTCCATCCTTCTGTGAGTGGACAGAAGAATCCTGGGACCAGACAGAGGACTCTGAGAAGGTTCGGCTCCGGGCAGACTTCATGCTGGGGGTTCCTGGAACCGATGGCTGTTCTACCTCCTCATCTTTTTTCATAAGGGAAGCAAAGTCGATGCCAGATCTCAGGAACTCTGAATATGTACCTTTCCCCACTGTTTTACCCTACAATTAATATAAGCTTTGATTATCTTCATTATACGCTTTCTGTAAAGGACAATTTTTCCTATCTATCCTTGCTGCCTCTGGGGCTCTGCAGCTGCTGAGCACACATCCCACTGCAGTAACTGAGCTGAAGCCTCTATCAGGTCCTCACTTAGAAGAGCAGAAACAAGCTCTTCATCCTCCAACTAGTCCCCTCCCGGCAGCTAACCAGGCCAAGGAGCATACAAATGGGAAGACAGAAGTCCCAGTTACAGCCAGGTGAGAATTATCTCCTTGGAGAAGCTGCGGGCAACAGCCATGCAGCATTAGAACAAGCTGCTGAACTACATCCACAACCATCAGTCTTTTTATATTACTCCAGGCTAGGGTTAAACAGCAGCTTCATTTTCTGGTCCTCACAGAGGTCTACAAGGAGCAACGCAGATCAATTCCACATTTCTTGCAGCTCTATCACAAACTCATTACTAGAAAGCTACTGTAATTTCTAAAGAGATGTGAATGGGAGGAAAAAGACAGCTAGTGTCTTTTTTTGCAACTCTGTGATGCATCAAAAGTAATTTCAAGTGCTTCACTACCCAACCTCAAAAAAAACCCCAAAAAACCAAAAAACCCAAAACAGCTGAAGTTCTTGCATTTCCCCTCTACCCATGAATATCTGGTACAACAAAGTTTGGAAGGAACCAGTTTCACTGAAGGCTTACCCATTCTCAAAGGTATTTGTGACCAATTCTCAGCCTTAATTTAAACAAGGGACTGGTTGCAAAATCAACACAGTTCTTAACTCACACAAAAGTGTAAGAAACAAGAATAAAAGCAAATATGAAAATATAAATAAAATATACTCTCACAGTATATTATACATATGTAAAATAAAAATCAGTATGTAAGATTACATATATGCATGATAAAATTCAGAAAGATTTTTCAGGGAAGGTATTCTAAGAAACATCAACTTATTTCATTAATAATTACAAATCTTCAAAAACATATATGGTCATTAGTAGACAGAAAATATATTTTCAAACTAAAAATAAAAATATTTAACTGTTTTTTTCCCATTCTTAGATTAAAAAAGATAATTAGAAAGTACGTGAGAGATAAAAGTACAAACACTGAAATCACCTACATCTTTTAAAATTAGAATCTGATTTGCAGCACGGAGATACTGCAACTGGTGAGTGACCAAAACAGTGATCTTCTGATGTAAGGCCTGACAAATACATCTGCAAAGAGATGGAAAAATTAATTAAAAAATGAAGTGTCCTAAAACATGTCGACTATTTCTGGAAAACACCTTCTATTCAATTATACAGTGTTTAAAATAAGAAAAAAAGACACCCATACTTATTAGATTTACAAAAATTACACTGAACAAACATGTCCCTTATTTAACTCTGCAAGTTTTCAAGGTAGGGAAAAGAAATTTCATATTTCTGGTCTAGGGTGAAAGAGGAGGAAGTATCTTAAGGACATTTCATTAAAACCGTCTTAAACATCCTCCTAACAAATGTACATGTCACAAGCTGAATTGCAAAGAGGGTATTTAACAAAAATTAAACTAAAGTAAAGAGAACACAGGGCAACATACTGTAGGCAATTATGGAAAAATAGAGTCAATAAAGTAACTTTGAGATGAGGTTTCAGAGCAGCTGTAACAGTGAGCCAGGGAGTTCTGAGGAAGTAAACAGTACTACTGATTTGAGCGAGATCCTTCAACCATCTCTGACCTCTTCCCATGGAATCAGAGCTTACCTTCCTCTCCAGTACCTTACCTACTTACCCTAGAGGCTTCCTCAGAAGTTTGGGATTTGGAGAGAGAAATGAAGAAGGGACTGGGCACACCAGAACCAGTCTGCAAGTGCTGTTCAACCCCATACAGTTTTAGCAGAAAAGATATCTGGTATCTTTTCAGTAGAGCTTTGAAAGGCCACCAGAGCAAAAAAACACAAAACCCCAAAACAGCAGTGGAGCAATGGTTTACAAGCACAGAGGTGCAAGCATGCTCTTCATATACAACAAGGATGGCACAGACGCAACTGAGACCCAAGACTACCAACGCTCTCATTGCCTCATCCCCACAGTAACACAGCAGGGAGACAAACCCTTCGAGAGGATGCCCCTTTCTCAACTATTTGCTATCGTAAGAAAATAAGGAAAACTGATATTGTCGAGAACTGGAGTGTCCAGTGAAGGTCTATACATCAGCATTTTCCATTTGGATCAGGAGTGTCTTTCTGAAGACCGTCTCTCAGCTGTCTCAACCTAACCTGCTGTTGCTCGTACTGTTGAGTGGAACTGGGGCCCACGAAGTGGACTTCTAGACAAAACCAAACAGGAACACACATTTTAGTGGCACCCCTTATCAGTACTCAGCTGACAAGGAATGAAGCCTGAAGGGCCAGGCTGCAGCCTGCTCAAAGCAGAACCTTCTGAACTGCACGGGCACCTTGGCACCACACGTTTTTCTCCACATTTTGCTCCTGTTGGCTCATTTTTGCTAACATGCTAACTCCCATTTGCTAACATGGAGGAGGCTGGCACTCACTGCAAAAGAAAAACAAACTAGAAACACCCCACATGCAAATTCTCTCTCCCCATTCTCAAAAAAACCCACAAGCAAAACCACAGCAATCCAACAGCACAAATTCAATACAGAAATGCAAATAAGTAGAGTAAGGCAGAAAAAGAACATGATCTTAACAGCAATGATATCATATTGCTTACTGTGTTTCACACACTCATGTTGCGTATCCAATGAATGCCCTACACAGCTTTTAACCTCTATTTTACCACTCCTACAAAGACTGTAGGAAGTAGAGTGCTATAAAACGGTTAATACTAGTACTAGTCAGCATAATTACATGCAGAAAGTATGTTACAGTGTTCCAAATAAACTGTGCAGTAAAATTAAGTTAAAAGCAACACTATTCCTCAGAAAGTTATATGCTTGCTATGTAGCATTCAAGAAGCAACTATAAAACCATGATGTCATTCTTAGATGGCCAAGATAACAATTAATCAAGGTATTTGCAGCAGCATAACTATTTGAGCAGTTACAACTATTTATACATCAAGCTCTTTGTCGGAGTATTAATCCGGTCTGGGCACCGTCCACCCTCTGAGCAGTCACTGAAACAATCCACACGGCAATTAGAGCATCAGCTGAAGACATGCAACAAAACATAACCTTCAACAAAATCTATCGAGAGAACTAGACAAAGATCAGAGAGGCTACAGGATATTTACTTGCCCTGCAGGAAAGCTGCCAAAAGAGAATATATCAGGTATTCACTGTGAAGAGATCTGGCTTTCCCTTACATAGTCCCACAGCTTACATACCACTTTGATCACTGAATTTTCTGTGTGCCAGGTCTATGTCTAACAGCTTACTGGGACAAACTAGCCACTAGAAAATCCAATGGCTGAAAACCTTTCAATTTTGATCCTGAGTCACAGTTAGTCCACTGCACTTTAAGTTTGCATTTGGAGGGGGGGAAAAAAAAAAAAAAGAGGAAAAAAAAGTGGGTTATCACAGCATCAGAGCAAACCAATTAGAACTGTCAGAGCTGTCAGCACAGCATCCTGCGTGATCTCGATCTCGGGAGAGAAGGCAAAAATTACCTCTGTGGAAATTTGTATTTCCACTGATATATCAGTTCACTCAATTGAGAATTTTTAAAAAAACAACAACTCTCGATTTCATGTCTATCGGTGTAGAAAGAAGCTAGCTGAATAGTTTGTTGATAACAGGTGAGTAGAAAAATTGTTGTCACAATTCACTGGCATGAGCACAGGGAGGAAAAATCGCAACAAAGAGTGTATACTTAGATCTATTACTCAGTTAAACAACTCACCGCTCAGACAGCTCACTAGAAAATTTTGCCATTTAAAATACCGTATCAACATGAAGCACAGAAGTTGTAAAACTAGTAACTAAGTAGATACTTAATGTTTGTTTCAAAACATCAAACTACTTGAGTTTTATGTTCAAAACTTTTTTTTTTTTTAAAAAGTATTCTCCCTCCCACTTGACAACATCTGTTCTGCAGTTTACAGTGAGTTTGTACAGTGCCGTGGCTGCCACAGAAGACTGAAGTCAGAGTTTAAAGAGAGGCTCAGCAAAACTGAATGTGTAAAAGGGTTGGCACAAAACTCACGAGAGCTCGGTGAATTCTTATTAGTGAAAATTTGGTATTGTCTTAGAATTGAAAAAGAAAAAAAAAAACACCCAAACCCACTAAAATAGTCCGTAAGTGTTTATGTTTTTAACTGGTTCTCTGAGGCTTAGTTTCATCACACGTCTACTTTTAGAAATACTTCTCTGTAGAGCTGAAGAAAAGCAACCGTTGATTCTAGGTGAAACACCCAATTCTAGGAGAATTGCCATCTGACAGCATGTCCCTTTCACACTGATGACAGAGAACCCAGAGAAAGCCTGCCTCTGCAGGGGACGTACCTGGTCTGACGGCTCAGACATCTGCTGGAGTATGCTCAGAACTGCCACCACCTTTTTACTTGCTGCCTAAAACCCCCCAAGTTCACCTTGTGCTTCTCTGCTACTCTCAAGAGGCATACTCTGTTAGTTAGACTGTGAGCACATTTAATGCATGACAACAGGACAAATTACTGTACAAACTGCAGTCACCATTGCCACATTTATTAAATACACAATGTACACAGGCACACACATGTGCACACAGCCAGACGAGATCCAGATAGAGAAGATTCAAAGGTTCTTCAGCCTCTTCAGTACAACGAAAAAGGGGGTGAAGGGACTATGAAAAGTTGCATCCTCTTCCCCAAATAACAATCAATTTAAACTTAAAAGCGTTCTTGACAGACGTTGGATGGGTTGTTTTGCACATTTAAGCTCAACAACAGAAATTTCAGTATCCTTCAAAATGTATTCCTAGGGCAAGCTACCTTCACCATTACAAAATTTTTCTCTGAAGTCCAAGTTTACACCTTTTGGTGCAATTTCAACCCACTACTTCCCAAAGGTCAGTAGACCAGTTTATTCCTGTGCACACAGTCCCTTCACACACTAAGTCTTTCTCCTCCAGATAAGTGAAAAAAAAGAAGAAAAAAAAAGTTCCCTAAATATACTACTTTTTTTTTCTTTTAAGTGACAAATAGTTTGCTCTTTTATTTTTTTTTCCTCACCCTTGACACCTGAATATTCTTAATGGGCTACACAGGAGTCTGAAGCCGGTCTACATTTTTCATAAGTGCACGAAATTGAAACATTATTCCGGTTGAGATCTTACAGGTACAAAACATAACAGGAGAATTACTTTACCTGTACTGCTAGATACAGTACTGGTCATAAATTGCAGGGCACACTTTCCTTAACAAGAGCATGACATTGCTGACTCACACTGGATTTGTGATCTACTGCAATCTGCACCTCCTTTTCCATAAAACTGCTGCACTACTGATCCCTGCTTATTCTGTGTTCACAGAGTCAACACTTTGCACTTATCCCTGCTGTGTACATCTATTAATTCACATCCTGTAACCGAGACTTTCCAAATCCCTGTGTCTCCAGGACTGCTTGAAGCATTGTCTGATTTTCTACCACCTGAAAATGTAGCATCAATGACTTTCATTCATCATCAGGAATAGTAGACTCAGGAAAGATGTCTCCAGAAATTACACTCTTCCAATTCAACAAAAAACCTAAGTAACACTATACAACCACCCATTTTAAAAAACCATTGTACTTCAACAGCAAACTTCTGTACAATTAAAAAAATAAATAAATTAGCTTGAGCTTTGATACTGCAGAGCATGCAGCAGAAGACTTACTCAGAAGGGGGCCTACAACACCACAGTGCTCCTCTACGCAAAGGCAGTGTGTCTTGGTGCTTTCATGCATACGAACCCGCATTTGCTCTTCCTTCCCCATCAGGTTTTCTTTTCTTTGAGACAAGTTGTTCTTTAATCTTTTTTAAGTTTTTATCTCCAAGAACCAGGTTTCTTTCACCTCTGAAGATTGTCTCTTTTTTAATGATTCCACTTTCTTCCTTACCATTCCTTTTGCCTCTCCTTTTTGGAAGTTCACATGCAAGTTTAACTTTAGTTAATACTTACGTTCGTTTCAATAGAAATAACCACTGAAATGAAATTAAAGCACATGTAGAAGCGCTCACAGGCATAAAGCCTTTGTTATATTAATTAACTTACTCCATTTTCTTTCCTTTCCTTTCCCTTTAAATTTAAA